TCCACGCCCTTCGTCCCTGCTCCACGGACGTTCTTCCAGCCGCACCCCCACCGCCAGCGCCCTCTGCACGATCTCCTGCGTGGTCCGGGGTCTCTCCCCCCTCGCAATTTCATCTTTAACCGAGCTGTGCAATCCCTCCCAAAACAGGTCTCTTACTGGAGCCGAATTTCTGTCCCATTCCAGGGCACTGACCAAAGCGAAAAAGCGGGCGTGGTACTGCCTTACGCTGGCCCTCCCTTGCTTAAGTCCATGTATCTGCTTCCGAGCAAGATCCACGTCTACGCTTGATAAAAAGCACCCATCCATCGCTTTAATAAAGGCATCCGCATTTTGGAGCGCCGGATCCTTATCTCTCCACAAATTGCGCAGCCATGCTTTAGCCTCTCCATGCAAATGGGACATGATGAATCCCACCTTCTCTTGCTCATCTCTAAAGTCGGTGTTCAGCAGTTGCAGTGCACACATTACATCTGCTCTAAAGTTGGGGTACTGTTGCAAATTCCCATCGAAGTGAGAGACCAGACCGCCTGTTCGTCTCCCCAACCCAATCCCCTCCGGTTTGGGTGTCAGTTGCCCTTGCTTCGTAAGCACTTCCAACCTGACCTGGAGATCCCTGTAGGCGGCAGCTGCATCCTCCTCTCTCTTCCTGGATGCAAGAGCCTCGGCATTCAGTCGCGTTACTGCTTCTCTGAGTTCCGCTATCTGCTGTTCGGCCATCATGTTGTCTGCCGTTCGTGAGCTCGCTAGTAGGCACCCGCTTTCTCTCCTCTCCGCGAGGCCGTAGATGCCCACAATAGGGAGACGGAGCTTACTGTCAGAGCTGCTTCAAGATCCTAGCTCACAGAGGATCACGCTAGCCAGCGATCATTAAATAAAAGTCTTTATTGAGTTACAGTTTCCATTCTCAAGCTGCTGCGTGCAACTCTACGTCTTATGGCTAGACCGGCGAAGCTCCGTCTGAGTCTCCGCCCCCTGTACACCAACTTAATACCCTAGCCTTACTCCACCTTTTCCGCCTGACTGTTCTTCTCTGGGTCCCTCTGCCCCCTGGGGTCTCTTCCTTCCGGGACTCTTCTGACGCTGACCCCCCGGACCCTTCTGTCTCCTTGCGCCGGGCTTTAGGACCTGGCTCCCTTTCCGGGCTGCTCACTGCGCCACCTTCCTGTGCATTTGAACTTGGCGCGCGCGCCCAACCTTCCACTTTCCGTCTGACCGTTTCTTCGCTCCCCGATGGAGGTGTGGCCACTCCTGACTCGTGCCCTCCCTCCTGTTGTGAGCTTCCAGCGCTTGATACCTGGCGCCCTTCCTCTCCCCTGCTCTCTGTGGGTGACGCTGGTCCCGGTTTCCCACTGCTCCCCTCTGAGCCCCCTCTGGCCCTTTCTTCCTGGGGTGTCCCCCTAGGCTCCCCCCTTGCCCTGGCCACTGGTGCTCCTTTCTGTGAATCTTCTGATTCACTGGAAAGACTCGGAGATCTCGGGTCGTCGTCATCACTCATCTTTTCTTCTGCCTCCTCCCCCTCACTCTCTGTTTCCTCCCTTGCCCTTGCCTCTGCTCCTGAACCCCTGACACATGTATTTTAAAAAACAAATGTTCAGTGGACAACACAGAAAACATTTAAAGAGAGACTGGAAAGGACATGACAGAAAGTATTAATGTTTATTTCTTTAAATAATGAGCACAGAAAAGAAGTTTATTTTATAGCATTTGATAAACATAAGTACCAAATATGGCAGTGGTTTTCTGTGAATTATATTGTTGTTGAGGTGAAAACTATTTACAGGTTTCAAGTTGAGGCAACATCAAGTCAATACTCCCAGGAATTAAAGTTTCAACTCAAGTTGTGCTAGATAAGGGAGAAGCAATTTTGATGCTTGTGATGAAAATGAATTGCAGTGTTTATATTCCAGAATTAGTCAATTGTGAAAGCTTCGTACTCTAAAATAAGTCAGTGTCTAACACTGAAATTCAGAATATACTGCAACAAACTGCTGCTGATTCATACTAGGGCTGTGTACACACTAACCAGTTTGTAGCACAAAATGATGTTTTTCTCAATCTGGATTCGTTCATGCTCATTCTCAACATGCTGCTTTCAATCTAGATTAATTCTAGATCCTGCCGTCCTCAAGGGTGGATGGGGTTACTTGGTAGGCATTTGAACCCACATGCCCAGGTTGGGTTATCCTTGTCTTTTCTTCCTTCCCAAGCCAAAGGAGAATGAAGAACGAAGTGGCAATCACCGTCTTAGTATGCACCCACCCAGAATGCTATTGGTCAGGTGTGGATACACCTCACCCTGCTGGGAATACCTACATCTGTTTCAAATGGGAACACTGCGGGGTAATGCAGAATCCATCTGCAATGAGCTTTTATTTTTGAAATGCAACTAGTTTTTAAAGAAGTGACAAAAAAATATGCAGTAGCTTTTGTGTGGTCTATGTATGAAAAAGCCAAGTATTCAGTCTCCACTGATTCTCGCATAGCAGCCTAAGTGTTGTCCATGAGGCCCATGAGGGTCTCACTCTTGTCTATGTAAAGCTGCAGATTTTGGGCTAGATTCACACACACTTCAGACTGGTCATCTTTTGTGCAAGCAGTCCAGTAGGATTGAAGGCATGCAAATTCCACACAAAACCAGTGGTGAAGTTCAGTAATTTCAGACTCTGGCTAGAACTACAATGATCTTCTATAACATTTAATGGTAGTTTCCTTTTGCCTCACTGCTCTGCAGCGCCTTCACATGTCACATTGTAATAATGCATTTTAATGTTATAAACCACGAGTGTAGATCCACCCTTTCTCTTAAGGAGGTATACCCTTTAAATGGTAATATGTATTACTTCGCTTACTTCAAAATGTGGTAAGCCATCTGTGTTGTGTTTGAGAGCCCTCCTGCTCACTGAGTGGGGCCTTGGACTTCTGCCTCGAAGGAACCACTCTGTAGTGCTGGGCACACAATGCCCATTTCTCATTATAATTGCCTCTCAATATGCTGGAGCTGAGTGTTGGGGAATTGTCTTTATTCATTGCAATTCTGTGTAGAAGGATAGCTGGAAATTGCTCATGCAATGCAAGTCCTGTCGAACGGTTATCAAAGTTATCGTCAGCTGGACCAGCTCTGCAAGCTTTTGACCTAAATATGGCCTAAACACTGGATTGTGTAACCAAATATGCATTAAATATCTTTTCCAATGGGGAAAACATTCAGAGCATCTTCTTCTGCTTTCTTTCCTACTTACTCATGGCATCTGCTCTTACACAGGTCAATTTAACCACCAATGAGTTCACTGTGCTTTGAAGTAACATACAGAAAGCTGGCATTCTTGTCAGCCATCAGGAATGCTACCTTAACCCAAACCCATATAGGTAATAACACAATTTCTAATCCATGTCAGTTGCCCGATGAAGAAAAATGGAATTGCCTAGTCAAGAAAGCACATAGAAATGTTCACAAATTTAATTTTAAAAAAATCAAAGCCCACTTCATATTTTGTGGAATTAAGACTATAGGAAATATGTAATAAAAATACTTTCTATAGGATTTAAAAATATGTACATATATAAACCACCTTAATTTTAATGCCCTTATGATACGGGTATCAAGTGTACAGAATATAATGGAGCTTTCATGGCCTTGCCACAGCCTGGATAGAAGTCACTTGTCAGCAGCCTGAAAGGTTTGCCAAACTGCAACCTAGACATACCCCACCAATTCTCCTCCTGTGGAATAAGCCTGCAAATTTATACATCAGACATGCTACAGCAGGTAGGAGAAGGCGGGTGAAGGGACCAGTGGACAAATTGGACAAGACAGGAGTTACAGCCTTTGCATCCTTTCCCACTGCCTCAGCCAAAAGCATCTCCAAGTGGCTGTCTGGATATGCATTGATCCATTCATTCAATCAAACCTCCTCCAGTTCATTGCTCTTCTGGCTGGAAGGGACCCAGCCAGCACAGAGCTATCCCAAAATCAGAACTATATAGCATTCTAGCTGACAAAGAATAGACCTGTGTATTCTCTTCTGCACACAGCGATGAGCTTTGAAGTCTCTACATCCCAACGTGGAATGTTCTTGTTTGAGCCAAATGATCTGGTACAGCTTGAAAAGGATCAGATCCAGATGGCCTATAGTGTTTTGAGATTTATTTCACTTGCAATTGAGGTCTCTCCTAACCAGACTGAATTATAATTAATCAATTGGCATGCTTAGAACAGATTTGCAGAATGACTCTCACAGCTCAAGAGTCTGCTGGTGGAAGTTTGAGAGCACCTTAAGTGTAGCTGACAGAGGCTGCCCAGCAGCCTCATGGTGGCAGAACCGCAAGCAGAGCCATGTTTGAAAAAGAGGAGCGACCCTCCTTGCAGTGGAGAAGGAAATCACAGACTCAGTTGCACGTTTATTTAAACATTTAAACAGCTTGTCTATATTGATTAGCATTGAAGGTAAGCTTTGCAGAAATAACTGGGAGGGGGAAACCCACCCCATCCTTAAAGCATTCAGGGGGGGGCAACTAGAATAAAATATTTGGAGGAGGGACAGGTAATCCCTGTCCCACATAATCAATCACATGACACAGTACACATACACCATTTGAATGGCAATGCCCATTAGCTGGGGGTGGGGCTCAAATATTGGGGGCAAAGACCTCTCAGCCCCTAGGAGTTGGCTCCTATGAAAACTTAATAGTCCCCCCCCCTTAATTTTAAGGTGTTAAAGGTAAAAGTGGATGGCTTCTAAGGTGAATGGAAAAAAATGAGTAGCCTTTATCATTGGTATCATGGTGTATCAGTCAATTAGATTTAAGGGTAATAATAACAAACTTTAAGAGACAAAGATTCAGGTAGGTAGCCGTGTTGGTCTGACGCAGTCGAAATAAATATAAAAATATAAAAAAATGTCCAGTAGCACCTTAGAGACCAACTAAGTTTGTTCTGGTATAAGCTTTCATGTGCATGCACACGAAAGGTATCTGAAGAAGTGTCCATGCACACAAAAGCTTATAGCAGAACAAACTTAGTTGGTCTCTAAGGTGCTACTGGACAATTGTTGTTGTTGTTGTTGTTAAGAGATAAAGATATTCTGATTGCCAGCATATATTTAAGTAAAGTTGGATTGCATTCTGGAAATGTTGGAAGAGGACTAGAAAGTTTGCATTTTAATTTTACATTAGAATCCCTTATCTTTGTCTGGAAACCAGAGTTTACCACATGCCACAAGGCCTTCCTGAAATCACTGTGTTCATGCTGAGACTTCTGTCTGCACGGCCAAGACAGAGCGCACATGTTTTTCTATATCTTGCTCTTCCTTGAGAAGCTCAGACTGGCTTCCATGCAGCTCTCTGGTGGACTCCCAAGCCCAAACCTAAAGCAACAAATGCTAACTGACAATGTTGGGGGTCCAGTGTCCAGACCATTCACTGGGCCCAGACTCAAGCAGCTTTCATATCCGCTCAATTTGTCTCAACTGGATTTTTTTTTTATTACCCTCAGAGGAACATGGCACATGGACCATCATGTTTATGCAGACTTTAAATGCATAAACATAGAACAGTCAATGATGGTCTTGAACTCATAATGTCCCTTCTGGGCTGTAAGAGAAAAGAGGAGAGGAGAGGAGAGAGGAGAGGAGAGGAGAGGTGTATGCTGTGAAGTCACCAGCGTCACTGCCTGGAGCACTAAACCTGGCTTTATACTTTAAGGTAGGTAGCATGAGAGTTTGCTTGCTTTAAGGAGTTAGCATATGGGATCTGGCCTCCTACAGAGGACAGCTTCTCACTGAGCTTTCGGTTGATCAGCTCTATGTGTCTGGTGTTCTTCCTGGATTGCCTGAGCGACCGCTTGACTTTCTTGACTCGGTCTCGCAGCTGCTTGTTGCGCTTCTCCAGGCTGGCCACCTGTTGCTGGAGCTGCTTCACGTGTTCTTCTTCGTCAAACAAGGCTTTTTGGACTGAAGAGCACATGAGCTGAAATGACATGCACAGAATGACTGCTTTTAAGAAACAATTCCAGAAATCAGTTGATGGGGGACCAATGGGCATATCCTGGCAACCCTGTTCTTTTACAAAGGGGTTCTTTTATTGTATTTGCTATACTTCTGTAGCCAGCTCCCAGTAGATTCCCATCTGTTTTAGCGATGAAAAGGTGGCAGTGGCATTTTTGAATGGGAGCCAAGCTCCACTCCAACCCACAGTAGCCACTCGGCATTTTAATTTACCCAAAATGTCATGCTCCAGCCCATAGATCTATGAAAGCTATAGATTTTATAACTCTACAGGCAGGTCTCAGACGAAGGTGTGCTCTACCAACCCACGTTCCCAGCATATTCACACTCCTGTCTCAGCAACATCTATGCTGACTTGGTCATGAACACAGAATGGAAGATGGCAGGATTCCCAAGGATGTGCTCTAGAGGTGTGAAGGGAATCCACTGTACGGGAGTCCCTTGAAGGCAGCAGCAGTGCCTGGAGACAGGCAGGTAGGTCATGTAGCAGGTCAGGTCAGCTGTGACCAGAGGAGGAATAGCTGCTGGGAGGAGCACAGAGAGAAGAAATGCCATGGTACACCGGCATCAGCACAACTGGATGCCTTCATCTGCCCCACCTGCAGATAAAACATGTCTCTCCCGCATCGGTCTCTACAGCCACAGCAGGTGCTGAAAAGGTGCACTCTTCCATTGCCGCCCAAGACCGACAAGGTGCCAACAACATAAGGCAGGTCATAGACATTTTTGCTGTGTCTGCCATGACAGCAGCAGCAGCCAGGGGGAATAAATGTGTAGCCACATGGGCATTGGCAGCCTTGTGCAGAGGGGCTCCTAAAGTCTGGCACCAGGCCTGCCTAAAGTGACTGACCAGCTCTGCGCCACACTTGGCTTCTGCAGCGTGGCAGCCTCAGGGGCTCTCAGTTCATTCACTAAGGAGAAAGAGGAAGAAGAGGAAGGAAATGAATGGTGAAGAAGGGAACCCACGAGGCCACAGCCCAATGTTTAGAGGCTTGGAAAGCGCAGGGACCCCTGGAGGGAAATCAGGCCAGGAGCCAACAAATTTTTTCAAACTACACCGTAAGGAGAGGTTCTGAGAGCAACTTGCAAGTGAAATAGGGAGTATTAATAGCCAAAAAATTAAACAAATGCTCCAACAGTGTCTCAAGCACAAAGCAACCACCTCTGCAGCCACCTACTGCTGTGACTCATTCTGTTCTGTATTACTTTTCTCTATAATTGCCATATGATTCATTTCTTTCTCTGTTTTTATTTTGCACTCCTCTGGCATGCTCGCAGGGAGTTTCCTGTTAAATATGTATGTGTACACACACACACACACACACACACACACACACAAAATTAAATAGTAGTGCAATTCAAGGTGGAAATGCATGTTACAAGGAACATGCGGCTGCTGCTGTAAACAGCACCCCAGAGTTAAATTCCAGTGGTCAGTTGCAAAGGGGACTCTGAGATCTAATTTGCACATTTTATTTGAGAATTATTTTTTATTCTGTGTAATAAGAAAATTTTGGTGGATTTGATCATGGTTTTAGTGCATATGTAGCAACTGCTTTCCCTCCTTCTCCTTCTTTGGATAATGCCATCGTCTTTGGGTAGCACAACAAAAGTTTATCTGAGTTAAATTCTCCCCCTCCTGCCCAGCAACATATAGAAAGAAAATCGCCCTGTGTTTTGACGCCATCAATCAGAGGGGGCAGTTCCACACCCCAGCCCCTCCCCCGCAGCAAAAGCTGCCAGGGTGGGCAACAGCCATAGGAGCCAACTCCTAGGGGCTGAGGGGACTTTGACCCCCCCAATAAAATATTGGGCCAGCCTCCCATGTTGATGAGCATTGCCATTCAAATGGTGTGTGTGCACTATATCATGTGATTGATTATGCAGGCTGGGACTCACCTGGCCCCTTAAGTATTTTATTCAAGTTGGCACCCCTGATCACCCTCCTGCCCCCATCTGACAAGCCTGCACTCGCCCGTTTGTGGTGGGTGAAAATCACTCCCCACTCCTCTCCCTCTGCGTCTGCTACTGTTGACAGGCAAGCACTGGCCATGGGGCATGGAGGGTGACTTTCATCCTCCACACTCCCCGCCATTGACGGGCGAGGGCAGGTGCGCCAGGTGGAGGTGGAACAGGTCACGTGGCGCCAGCCCCCTCAATTGGGGGGGGAAGTCAGCACCCCTAGTTTGGGGAGTTTCACTTCAAGGTAAGGGGACAGGCAAGTGCCAGACTGCAAAATTCCCCTGGTGATTCCCTTTAATAGTTTGAGATGTACCGTTCTATGAACTCATCATTATTAATTGTTCTCATTATAACCAGATTAATCTGGGAGAGAATTCTTCTGGAAAAGTGTGTGTGTGAAAAACAGAAAGTCACACTTCGTATATTAAGCTGTATTGGCCATGTGACATTTTAATCAGCTGTTGTGTAGGTGTGAAAAATTACTGCTGGTGGTGCTTTAGTCAGTTTTATACTTCATGCTACAGTTTAATCCCCCCCCGCCCCCCACTTACTGCCTGCCTTCCTACCAATTTCTCAGCAATTCAGATAGGCACCCTTTGGCTAAGAGATTGTGCCAACCCAAATCTCTTGCTGTGATGATGAATAATTGCATGTTATCCTGCCTATTTTTTCATTCATTGTTTTGTAATATTTTCTTAAAAGCTGAATGCGTTGGGGAGGGCAAGATATTTGTTTGCCTTGAAAAAGAACCATCAGCTAACAATCCTCTTGTATGAAAAGACTGGCCAGAACTGCGATCCACAGTTGACGGCTTCAATTTGAGTCCCTATTACTAATCTGTTCCGAGTGCTCTGCATAAATAAAGCATTTCCTCCACGACTTCCAGCCGCTGCTTTTGAAGGCAAGGCACAAGGACCTGTTTCATGTGTGTGTGTGTGCGTGCGTGCGTGCGTGCGTGCGCAAGAGTATCTGTCAAATATTTTCTAACAATGCAGGCCCATTTCAAGGAAAATCTGACTCAGACAAGATTAATTTGCCCCCTCTAAACCCGCTGCATAAAACATATGTTCTCTCCCTATAAAGCTATTTTTTAAAGAATTGCCATAAACATTTATTTATTTGCAAAAACTTCTATACTACCAACGTACATTAAAATGGCATGATTGTGAATAGCATAAAATCAATAATAAATTGCATCAATAAATAAATAAGTCACAGATCAGCAGATCAGTTTAATACATCAACATATCTGGATTGCCCCTCAGAGAAAGCTTGTGTCAGCAGATTTTAAGCAGGCTCCTAAATTTCAGACTTAGGCTGCTGGGGAAGGAACTCCTGAGGAAGTCCATTCCACTGTCAAACAGAGTGTTCCTCCTGATGTTTAGCCTCAGTCTCCCTTCTTGTAACTTGACGCCATGGGTTCGAGATCTACCCTCCCTCGGGAGGTTCCTCCCCCAGTTCCTTCCCCCGCAGCCTGAGGCTCCACCGCCTTGCCTCTCATGGCTCTGCGTGTTCTCAGGGAGCGCTGGTTTTGGATGGCTCTCTGCCCCAGCCTCTTCCTGCTCACTAAACCCTGTTGCCTCTTCCCCTCCTCCCCCCAGCCCGCTCCCCTTTCTGCTTTTGACTGCTCCTTCTTGTCCCACCCCCCCCCCATCTGAGCTGTGAGCCTTCTTCCCCTGGGGGCTCCCTTGGGTGGCGCCTCCCTCTGCATCCAGCCAGTCCCTGACCGGCAATCTCTCTCTGTCTCTTTCTCTCAGATCATATTCCTTTAGGATGATTTATATCTGCATCAAGTTCAAAGGCAACTGGAAGCTTTTGGATCTTTTTGTGGGTTATATGTAAAAAATTAATAATTGGTTCCATATATTTATAAGGATGGCCTAGTGCTTTCTATAAGATTGTAATGAAGGGAACATTTGAGAGTTGTTCTCATTTTCCTGGGTTTCTCCGGCTGGAGGATTCCCAATAATTTTCTGCTTCTGTGTATATTGCTGGAAAATGTGAGTATCATTTGCAAGTTTTGGCTAGCATGCCTATTGGCTTACCAAGATTCACTGACTCAGCAGAAAAGAAAAATTGTGGGGTGGAGAAACTCTCCCTTCATCTCTCTCCTCTGTTCATAAAAACTTGCTAGAAACTCTTTTTTAAATTATCTAAAAAGCACTGTGTTCAGCAGGCTTTGGGTTTTTTCTCTAGAAAAAGAACTAATTCATTTAAAAGTATGGTATTTGCTTCACTGGAATACTTCAGTGCCTGGTGAGTTTGAGTTCAATGCAGAAGAAGTATTAAAATGGTCCAAGGCCATAATTTCAAATGGGGAGCAGGGTTAGTAAGACTAAATGCAAAGAAGCTGAAAGACATTAAATAGTTTAAACACAAAGGAGTCATGTGTCATTTGTTTTTCCAAGGCTACTCCAGTCAGAATCGCACTTGGGCTGCGATCTTACTGTCTCTCCATCGAAGGAAGCCCCATCAAACAGAGTGACGCTTATTTTCAAGTAAGGATTAGGCTTGCCTCATAAGAAAATCTGCAAAGGGGTAGTCATATTCTCTTGAGGAAACACCGCACAATAATCTTGTAGCATGTTAACAAGATTAATTGTAATGTAAACATCGGATGAAGTGGACTCAGTCCACAAAAGTTTTCAATCGGCTGGTTTTTGAGATGTCTCAAGACTCTTCTCTTAACAACTGTCATTTCTCAGCTTTGCTGCAGTGTTGCAAGTCTGAGAGACTTCAGTGATTGGGATACGGTGGGCCAGGCACGAGAAAGGATGTTTCTGTGCATCTGCTTATGCCTGAAGCTAAATGGTTGATGCCTTTCGTTATATGTATATCTATTTGTTGAGACATGTAATCCTAGAATTGCCTTGGGAAATAAATTGTGTTTGTGTGTGTGTGCACAATGAAAGGTTTGGGATACAGTTTATGAACAATTAGATTGTGGCATATATATTCCACGCTCTCACACATACAGAGCTACCTTCTCTGTTGCACGCT